GGTCAAGGAAAAAAAGATATTTCTTTCTTTGAGACTACCATGTCTTTTAGACTCTACAACATTTGACACAACCCGGGGGGTTGTATCAGGGTCTTGACACCAACATGACACTTACTGGCTCGTGTTTAGCTTGTGATGCACTTGCTCAATGACGAGTCTCTTCCTAAAGGACTGTTCTCTCCCCATCAGTCTCTAGTCTTTAAGGCAGATGATTTCCCCTACTTCAGTTCAAAGGTTTGTACACATGTTGATCGAACTGGATCCTATTTATTTCATATTATTTCCTCAATTCTAACATTGTCTTTTGAATGCTCATGGCCCTCCGCAGATGGCCATCACCCGTCGATATTAGCAGGAAGATATTCTGTTCCCTTACCCAGCTTGTTAATCAAAGGGGTGACGAGTGCTGGACCAAGGACAAACCCCTGTGGGAATCCTGCTCTGTTCACTGCCCCCATATCATGACGACTCTCTTAGTAGGGCTTTTCCAAGCAGGTATTCACCTACCACCTCGTAACTTCATTTCTAGACCACTTCAGCATGTTTGAGAGAGTTGCGCACAACTGTATGAAAAGGCTCAGTAACATCAAGATAAAACACACCTACGGTTCATCTCCTACACACAAATCCCATCACCTGTCAAGGAGCAGCATTAGTTGGGCTTGGCATGATTTGCCTTGTAGTTTTGCTATTGCTTCGTTGTGATACAACTTTTGCTTGATTATCTGTCCCTGCAGCTTCCACTGGTTTCTTCTTTCCTTTCTCACACTTTTTTTTACCTCTATTTAGTTTTCTTCACCCATCCTCCAAGATTTCCCAGAAGGAATCCAATACACTGGCTCAGTTCAACTGACCTCAGTCATCTAAAACCAAGACACCTGGAGCTGAGCTTGGCAATTTAGGCATGCTTTACACTCACTAGAGGGCAACACGCACATTTAGACTACAGCTAATCATTATTATTCTTAACTCCAATTAATCCTAACTCCTGCAGATGCTCAAACTTAGTCCCATCTATATCAGACCTAAAGGAATCCAAAATTTGTTTCACCCAGTTTGCAATTATTTAATATTGTTTCTTCAAGATATAGAAATCCTTTTCCAGGCTCTCTTCCCATGGGTTCTTCCCTCTTGAACCCCCAACATTACTCAAGAGAGGTTTCTTGAGAATTGCAATCTTTACTCTATGGTCTCCTTCCTTTTATTTCCGAGTATCACAAACTCCATCATTTTCATCCACGCCCAAGTTTTCAATCAGTTCTTTTCCATCAGCAAAAATGAAGCCTGGAAATGAAATATAATAGTAAAAATATTATATGAATATTAGAGAATATTAACAAATTAAACAGTAGTGGAGACTGTTATCTAGAACTGAAACCAATTGCCACAGTCTGGCCATGTATTAAAAGCTCCCACCCTCCAAAACTAGGTGGTTATATCACAACTGCTTCTTGGCCCATGCACACTTGTGAACCATGGCCAAAAGTTGGATGAGAGCTCATTAAGCCCATCAGAACTGTGCCAAGGACCAATCCAGTCCCAAATCTGGGCCCTGTCACTGTTTATTTCATAAAGGCAGATATAGATTCAGTGTCTATGTCGATGAGCATCCAAGAACTTCGTGACCTCTCCAGTAACATTGTAGATTCAGGCGTTTCATCAGACTCAGCTGATCCCCACGAACCCCTCTGCCTTCGGGATTTCAGGCTGAGAGAGTTGGGGCTGTTCAGCCTGGAGAAGAGAAGGCTCCGGGGAGATCTTATTGCCGCCTTCCAGTCCCTAAAGGGGCTCCAGGAGAGCTGGGGAAGGACTTTTTACTGGGGCATGGAGTGACAGGACGAGGGGGAATGGCTAAAAACTGGAAGAGGGCAGGTTTAGATTAAACATTAGGAAGAAGTTTTTCACTTTAAGGGTGGTGAGGCAGTGGCACAGGTTGCCCAGAGAGGTTGTTGAGGCCCCATCCCTGGAGATGTTCAAGGCCAGGCTGGACGTGGGCCTTGGGCAACCTGGTCTAGTTGGAGGTGTCCCTGCCCAGGGCAGGGGGGTTGGAACTCTATGATCTTCAAGGTCCTTTCCAACCTAAACCATTCCATGATTCTATGATTCTAAGTTGCCTTCCCAGGCATTCCCAGCCTTTGAGGTGCTTCTGCCTATACATCCTCACAAACATCTATCTGCTGCCCTCCATTTTCTAAGCTACTGAGTTCCAAACTCTTTTGGCCCAGACCTGCCCCTGCCCCCTCATACCACAGGGATTCACACGTGTCCTCAGGAGCGGGGGTGCTGGAGGACCTGGTGGCTGCCAGCCAGCTGCTCTGCTCACCATCCAGTCCCCACACCAACCGTCCCACAAGCTGTGGACCATCCACAGAGCCACCAGCCAAGTCAGCTGCTCTCCAAGGATCAGGGATTTGCTTTTCCCTTGTCAGCAAAGACCCCTCTTTCGAGGACCTGAGATGGCCACCAGCACACAGGGGAGGTAGAAAGCTAAGTCCCACCGTCCAAGGCTATGGGATAGGAAAATAAACCAGAGCTTTACCTACCCTGGAGCTCCTCCTGGTGTCTTGTCATGGGAAATACACTATTAGCAGTTCCTCAGCTGAAAAGACAGTGAAAACACAAAGGCCTCAGCAGAAGAGAGCAGGAGATGGCTCGGAAAAGCTACTCTGGCCAAATGCCCTCACTGGTCCCTGCTGTGACCTGCAGAGAGGAACGGCCTCCGAAAGTCTGGGATAAGTGAGGAGAGAGGAAGGAGATGACAATATCCCCACTCCTACAAGGCAATGTTGGAGCAGCAGAAATTACTGGGAGCATTTTTACAAGCACCTAGGCACTTCTCCAAAAGAAAAACATTGGTTCTTTTCCCCACAAATGAGTTGGTAAGAAAACACCACCTACACCCTGAAGAAAGCACCTGGGTAGGTTTGGCCCATCTTTCCTGACCAGGAGCTTTGCAGCATGGAGCCACCACAGCAGTGGCCATGCAGGAGCAGAGCACGTTGGGTCCCCACAAAGCTGAGGACAAGAACTGTGTAATAAACCCACTGAGACAGAACAACTCCGACCATCTGTGTGGTTAACTCACCTTCACACATCTCCTCAGTTTCACGAGGCAGACACCGGCTGTAGGTCTGAGGTCACTCTGCAGAAGTGCAGTACATCCAACCACAGATCTTTAGGAGGCTGCAAAGATGCAAAATCCCCTCCAGACCCGAAAAATCTGCTGACACAGCTGCGTTGGGTGAGGGGAGCTCAGAAATCAGGCTTTTATAATTCTTTGCAGAACAAAAATGGGAGTTTCCCCTGCTCCCCGTCCAATGAGATGCTACTAAGTCCTCTTAGCCACAGGGCTGTGTAGATCCAAGGTAGGCAAGAGGCCACATGGCTGCGGTGAGAGAGGCTGGTGCTGCCCACACTTATCACCCACCCACCCCAAGGGCATTTCTGCAAGTGCCTGGTTCACAGAGGCAAAGGCACCGCGGTGGATGTGCCCAACATCATCCCTGAGCCCGAAGGGACAAGCAGCTGCCTGAAGGCTTTCCATAGCAGAGCCGGTCCCCAGAAGACTGTAGAGTTGCATACCCAGACGTAGGAACTGTTTTAAGTCCAAGTAAGCAGCAACTCACAGAAATGGTATCTAGACATTTTTATTACTCAAATGAATACTTATGGCATCCAGAAACAAGGGCGCGTGAACTGGGCAGGCGCCCAGAGAGGGGCAGGGACAACAGCAAAGAGCCTGTGCTGATCAGGGTCCTCTCCAAAGCTTAACCTCAAACTCACCAAGACCGAAAAAAAAAAAAAAAAAAACCAACAAACCACCCCAACCCAAACCAATTAAAAAAAACCCCAAACCTTCAGCAGCTCTGGCGTCACAAGCAGCCAAGACTGGTCAGACCACACATTCGTCCTTTCTTGAAAACCATCCCAAACCATAGGAGCTTGCTGGTTTCTAGGAACAGCCTTTCTCCAAGAAGCGGTCACCCTATGTGGTCCCAGAAAGCAAGATGGTTCAACAAACCCCCCAAGAGCAAGGGAAGGCTTTTACAACCTCAGCAGCTGGTGGTTACCTTCCCCAGGACGTAGGAAGATATGCTCCGCCAGCAGGACGTACAGGGGACGCAGGACCCCGGGTCACCATAGCTTTAACCTTTCTTTGCTACAGGTGGTTTGGTCCCATTTGTGGTGGCCCTGTAATACTCATACAAGCACGAACCCAAACTGGAGGGTGAGGAGCAGCTGGAGACCAAACCCACCTGCGCTAGGGACGTGTCTCCTGGGCAGCTCTGAGCATCACAGGTCCTTCCCACCCATTTGGGGCCAAAACTCCCACAGCAGCACTGTGAAATCTAGAAATCGAGCTGACCCATGGGTGATGGAGCAGGTGGGACTACACTTGCCTCTGCATCACCAGAAGTTGTCCTCCCCAGCGCAGGCAGGGAAAAAAAAAAAAAAAAAAGAGAGAGGCTGGTCACAGCCAACAGGACTGGCATTGGACATCTTTACTTGTGAGTCAAGCAAATCCAGGCTGTGTAATTGGGGGGAAAACAAGGGGGAGGAAAAAAAAAAGGGGGAAAAGAAAAGCTTCACTACTAACAGTGGAGCTCCCACATTACTTCTTGCCACCACTGCTATTGAAGGTTGGATTCCTAAATCCAGATTTTTTTATTCAAAGGCTGGAACTATAACCACCAAAGCTAAAAACAATACATTAAGAACATCGGTAGTTTGCACAGAAGTTTTTCCTTTCGGCTCCTTGCAGAAACAAACCTCTTCCCGAATACTCCAGTTTGGAGGCAGCAACAGTAAGAGAGCGTCCAGAGTTCCTGGCTCTTTTGGTGTCAGCAATGCACAGCGAGGAAGAAATGTAAAGTGCACACACTTGAGGCTCCCCAAAGTTCGGCTCAGCCAGATGAAGCGTTCAGGAGAGAGTTGAAGGCAAACATGAAGAACCTCCAGACTAAGAGTCCATAAGAACTTGGGCTCTTCTGCCCACAGGCTCAGATTAAGAAGATAATGTCATCAGACACCATGATCTGGTTGTCATCTTGCATGTGGGCCAACGCCACCTTCACTTCAGCCAGCGAGAAGGGCTCAGGGTTGTCACGGTTGATAGACTCCATCACGTTCTTCAGACCCACAGACTGGGCATGGGAAGCTTTGAAGACGTCCAGGAGGGCAGCCTTGAACGCTTTCAACCTGGTCAGGCAAGGTGAGAAGTAATCCCCCTCAGAGACCACACGCACAAGTCCTTCCCCTCCCTTCCCAGCCCAGGATCCCCCACCAGCCCCTCCCTGTTCCACAAGTCGAACCCAGCAGGAAAGCTGAAACCAGAGCTGAGATCACCCACCGCAGATGCATCTCCAGCATCAGACAACAGCTTGGACCCACCAGGGTGGGGTGGGACACGTAGAAACAAATACATCCTCCAGCCCCGACTCACCTCGGCTCAGCCAACTCCGGCTTCTTCGCTTCGCCAGTGGCCGAGGCTTCGGGTGTCTTGGGAGCGTGTGCCTGGACTGGAGGAGAAGAAAGAGTTACCTTCAACCTGCCTGGTGTCCAAGCACTCAGAAAGCAAAAGCACTTGGCCCTAAGATGGGGTGGGAGATGTCAAACTCCCTCCCAGACTTCGGCAGCAGTTAAAAAAAAAATAACCGGCAATATTAACTCTCCTGTCCCACGTGGCCATGGAGGGTTTAAAAAATAAAATAAATTCATCTTGATTTAGTGGTGTCGCACTGCACCAGGGACCCCAAGGGACCCCAAGGCATTGCTGCTGCTCCCCAGGGCGTGCTGACCCACCGGGGCAGAAGGCAGCAGCACCCTCAGGAGCCAGGAAAACCCCAGGGACTCACCCTCCGGCATCTCCTCCTCAGCGTCACTGAAGTCATACGGGTCGTAGGAGTCCCCCTCGCCTCCTGTGCGTGCCTTCTTTCTCCTGGGTGGGGGAAGAAGAGATCACCCCTGATCCAACCAAACCACAGACCTCAGGACTCCACCCCAAATGCTGAGCTCCTGGCCAAGACCAGGCAGGGTATTTGCAGCTCACAGGTAAGCCACTCTCCAGCCAAAAACCCCCGCCCATGGTACAGGACCCAAGCCAGCACCAGCCCTGAGGGTTATGGACTGTCACAGGATCACAGAAGGGTTTGGGTTGGATCATCTAGTCCAATCCCCCTCCCACGGACAGGGTCATGTTTGCTAGATCAGGTTGCTTAAAGCTCCATCCAACCGGACCTCGAACACTTCCAGTCATGGGGCGTCCACTTCTCTGGGCAACCTGGGCCAGTGTCTTATCACCCTCAGAGTAAAATATCTATTCTTTATTGTCCAATCTAAGTCTACCCTCCAGGTGGGGTCTGCCCAGAGCGCAGCAGAGGGGCAGACTCCCCTCCCTCGCCCTGCTGGCCACGCTGTTGGGGATGCAGCCCGGGATGCCGGGGGCTCGCTGGGCTGACAGACCACATTGCCGGCTCACGGTGAGCTTCTCATCCACCAACACCCCCAAATCCTTTGCCAGGCTGCTCTCAATCCCTTCATTCCTTAGCCTGTGCTGGTATTGGGAATTGCCCCGAGTCAGGAGCAGGACCTTGCACTTGGCCTTGTTGAACTTCATGAAGTCCACATGGACCTGCTCCTCAAACTCATCCAGGTCCCTCTGGATGGCATTCCTTCCCTCAAGCGTATCAACCACACCACTCGGCTTGGTGTCATCTGCAAACTTGCTGAGGGTGCACTCGATTCCACTGTCTATGTTGTTAATGAAGATATAAAATAGTACTGGTCCCAGTACAGATCCCTGAGGGACACCGCTCTTTATCGATCTCCATTTGGACATTGAGCCGTTGACTGCAACTCTTTGGATGTGGCCAACCAAACAATTCCTTAACCATCAAATAAAGGTGTCCACATATTACAAATTGGGGGGGATCACCCACTAGGTCGAGCAAAACATGGAGTATTTCCTCAAAGCCAGCACTGCTCATCACAACCTCAGAAGAGCCTGGTGCCCCTTGCAATGACATCCCCCCCATTCCTTGCTCTGGCACCTACCTCCTTGTGCTGCGCTCCTCCTTGGGCTGTGACTCCTGGTCCTCCTCCTCAGTCTCCGAGTCCTCCTCCGCCTGCTTTCTCCGCTTCTTCTCCTTCTCCAGCACCTGCGTGGCAAAGGCAGGATGGACTCAGCCCCTTTTTCCAACCAAGCTGCTTTTCAGGGGCCAACCCTGAGGGCCCCGAGATCCCGTCACTGCCCCATCCCCACGTGGTCACCAGGAAATGACCCCACCAGCAGCTCGGGGTGCTCAGCCTGCACCAAAACCACCCCTTTCAAGGACAATTTTAGGACCCGCCAAGCACTGACATGCACCTTCCCGCACCTTTTTGAAGTAGGCGAACTGCACCAGCTCCAAAGCCGCCTCGGCATCTTGCAGATCGACTGTCTTATTCATCCTGGCCTTGGCGTGGGCCGTGGAGAGGCGGATCAGGGTCTCCAGGGTACGAGCAGTAACAGGGGAGGTCTGGTGGGGACAGAGAGGTGTTTCTGCGAGGCTGACCCCCATCACGGCATCCCACCAAGGGCAGAAAACACCAGTAAGGGGAGAAGGGAACCTGTGCCTCAGTTTCCCTCCTCCCAGCGTGAGAGGGAGCTGCTCCCGGGACTCACCCTGGCGATGTCCGAGTTCATCTGGCTCTGGCTCCGCAGGCGGGAGTACTCCTCTGCTATGTAGCTTGCTGACTCCTGGGTCAAGACGGGCTTAATCATCTTTGCTACGTGGATGTACTTCCTCATGAACTCCATGCTGACGATCTTCTCCCTGCGGGGGATGCATGTACACTTGTGTCCTCCAAGCTGGGGACGGGTAAAGGGTGTTGGCAGAAGTGGGGCTGCACCCAGAAAGAGCGGTACCCTTCATGGGCATCCAGGCAAGTGGGGAATTCAGCTTGAGGAGATGTTCCCCATCTGCCTGGCATGAAAGATGAAGCCCCGGGCATCCTGCCCAGCTACCTCCCCATGGACCACCTGGAGCATCACTGGCACCACCAATCAGCTGCCGCCTGGATGCTCAAGCCAAACCCATGAATTCACTGCCGGAAACCTCCAGGGGATGTGGGATGGGGCACTCACTTGCGGCGGTTTGGCCCATGCAGGAGGTCATCATGTTTCTCATACACTTGGAGCTCCTGTTCCTCCTCCTGCACGAAGTCGGGGTCCTCTGTAGCCAGGATCTCCACAGCACTGCCCAGGGGCATGGCTGGAGAGGGGAAGGTCACAGAGTACAGGCTTTTAGCCTCTTGCAGCATTGCTGGAGTGACTTCCAAAGGCCACCAAAAGCAGTTCTCAGCAATGCCAAGGATGCTGAACCCAATGAGCTGTCACCAGAGGTGACAATCCACCAAGGAAGGACAGGACCGAGCAACAAAGCAGCTAGACAATTACAAGCGACTCACCGTCCCCATCCTGCTCATTGGGGTTGCGGTAGCGATGCATCCGCAGGACATGGTCCGAGATCTCCCTGTCCTGCTCAGGGTCCATCTGGTCCAGCACGATGAAGAGCAGGTCAAAGCGGGAGAGCAAGGAGTCCTGCAGGCCAATGTTCTCCATGGGAGTCTTGTACTGGTCATACTGCAAGAGGATGAGATAAGGGGTTACAGGAGAGCCTCATGGGCCAGTCTTGGCCGCCAGCGAGGCTGGAGGGACCTCCTCAGGACAGATCTTAAAGGACAGATGTCCAAGCAGCTGGACACCACACTAAACCCAGCCTGCTGCAGCAGTAAGGCCTCTTTTCACCATCCTGGAAGGTAGGCGTATCTCTCATTCGCAAGGAACACACATATTTTTTGTGATCCCAGATCAGATGACAAGACTGAGGCTCGTCACCAGGATGAGGGTCCACTGGGCTGCCCTGAGACACCCAGGCAGAACCAAGCCATGGTGAGAGACCCCATGAGCCCTGTCTCCTCCAGGATGGCCATGAGTAGCAACAGAGACCAAACCAACCAGGTCTTTGCTGCCCCATAGATCCCAGTCCCAGCAAGAACCAAGTTTTTGGGGGATCCAGCTGCCTTCTCCACCAAGACAGCTCCCAGCATCCCTCCCTACGGAGCAGACCACCAAACACCAGCACTCACCCGGCCATAGACAGGGTTGGCCGCAGCCAGGACGCTGCAGCGGGAGTTGAGGCGTGCATGGATGCCAGCCTTGGCAATGGTGACACGGCCCTGCTCCATCACCTCATGGATGGCCGTGCGGTCAATGTCGGACATCTTGTCGAATTCGTCAATGCACACCACCCCCCGGTCAGCCAACACCATGGCCCCTGCTTCCAGCCGCCGTTCGCCTAGGATGGGGTGGGAGAAAAAGAGGGTCAACCACCATTCAGCAGCTCCACACATCTCCTGCCCTGCCACCTCCCTCCACCACAGCACCCCCCCCGCCGCTAGGCCAAGCCTCCAAGAGCAGCAGCACTCTTCGGGGCTGTCCATCTCCTACCCAACTTGGCAGCAGAAAGAGGACACTTATGATGAGGAGCAAGCCCATGAGGAACACGAGATCCAGGCTGCTGCTAGCCCTCACATGGGGTGCACCAAGTAGAAGAGGAGTAGAGAAGACCACCACCTAACAGAGGTGGATAAAATACCCCTAAACACCAATATCATTGCCATAAAACTTCTGGATGGAGCAAGTCCTGCAAGCATCTCCATAGAACAAACAGCAGCCCCAGATCTTGCAGAATCTCTCCAGATGTTATCAAGCGTCCCTCTGTCAGCTCCCACCAGGAACCAGTCTGGTCCTCACCGGTTTCTTGGTCCGTGGTGACAGCAGCAGTCAGGCCAACACCAGAGGAGCCTCTGCCGGTGGTGGGGATGGCGCGGGGTGCAGTGCTGAGCACGTACCGCAGCAACTGGGACTTGGCGACAGAAGGGTCTCCTGAAATGGAGAAGACTGCATTTAATAATCACATCACCTGGATAAAGTGTCCAGTTCAGGGCTCCTCAGTGAGGAAAAAAGAAGGGGACAGAAAAGTGGGTTTGTTCAGCATTCAGAAAGGAAGGTGATCAGATCATCTCCTTGCCTTCCTCAACAACCCAATGGGAAGAAATAGAGAAGATGGAGCTGGTGTTTTGAGATGCACGTGGTGATGGGACCAGAGGCAACGGGGACAACTTGGAACACAGGAAATCACAATTGGATGGTGAAAGAAAAAGAAGTCTCCTTAAGGGTGGTCAAACACTGGGATAGTGGCCCAGAGATGTCATGGGATCCCATCCCTGGAGATGTTCAAAACCAACTGGACAAGCCCCAGAGCAACCTGATCTACCACTGACACTGGCTCTGCCCTGCGCACACGCTTGGGCCAGAGGCCTCCAGAGGTCCCATCTAACCTCAATTACTATGAAATTAAGTCCAGGAAAATGGGCCTTCATCTCCTCCCCCCCTGCCCCCAACAACAACCGAGGGTGCCCCTGCCCAGCCTTTCCAGACCTATCAGCAAGATGTTGATGTCTCCTCGGATGCGGCTCCCGTTCTCCAGGACCTTCTCCACCCCTCCAAGCAGCATGCAGAGAAGGGCCTTCTTGATGTACTCGTGCCCGTGGATGCTGGGAGCCAGTGATCTAGCCAGCTGGTCAAAGATATCCTAAGGCAGAAGAGACCAAGTACAGCCCTTCAGATGGACTGCAGCAAATAAGAACAAGGACTGGTGCTCCACAAGTCCATTCAGAACAAAAAATGAGTTTATTCCTATCACAGAACCACATGGATGAAAATTACTTAGAAAGGAGAAGACCGTTTGCCAGAGTTTTCTTTCAACAGGGCTCTGAAGTCCTAGATCATCCTGACTGTCATGGTCACCCAAGAAAGCACTGGAAGCAGCAACCCCTGTGAGAGAAAGGCTTTCTCCTCTCCACACTCTGAAGCAAAGGTGTGAGCATAGGACCAGGCTGCGGTCCTCATTCCCTCCATATCTCATTCTGGTTTGGGGTTTGAAGAGGAAAGAGGTGTTTCTCCTGCAGAGGGAACTTCTCTGGCAACCAGCTGGCAGGGTCGGGACACACAACCCACGACCGATTTCTGTCTCACAGCTATGCACAGCACAGCCGCAGCAACAAAAATGAAAACAAAACAAGACCTGATTAAAGCCTAAGCAGAAAACACAAAGGAATTGAGCAGAAAAAAAATCCAGCAACGTCGCTAAGAGGGTTGAAGAGTTACTTGCAACCCAACAAGACATCTCCTTAGCCACATGCCAAGCCTGAAAGATGCTCTAGCTGAAACCTTGTGCTCGGATACAAGCCCGTCTTCTACAAGTAAGACTTAAATACCTTGGAGCGACTCTTGCTGAATCTCTTGATCTTGGCCACATCAGCAGCGGAGTAAAGAGGCCGAACGTCTTTGCTCATTTGCTTCACGTGGCAGGCAATGAGGATAGTCCTGGAGAAGGGACACAGCCATGATCAGGGCTGCAAACCCCCAGAGTCTATGGGTCACAGCACCAGCAGAAACTTCCACAGGGTCATCATTTGTTCTAGGAAGTCCTGGGGGGTAGGGAGGGCTGGAAAGCTTCAAGAGCTGTAGTCCCCTCTACCCGATTGCACTGGGCCATCAATGGAGCATCTTTAAGAGCATCGAGCCCCCTCCGTGCACAGCTGGAGCTCACAGCTACACACTGATGCTAAGGAGCACGGTGCAAAACACTTCCAAGTGGTTTAAGCTAGCTCTGTGATGGCCACCTGCCTGCCCTAGATCTCACCTTCCAGAGATGGGACCCAACTAAAGAGGGTGGGAGGGCTGAAGTCAAGCCAAAAGAAGGCTCACCTGAAAGTCCCCGAAGTGTAACCCCCTTTCTTTCCCGGCAGGCAGCGGTACGTCCCCACCACCTGGATGCGGTCTCCAGGCTTCACCTTGTCCACCAGGTCATCATCCAGAATGACATCCACCGAGCGTGGCAGCTGCCCTGCTGGTGCCTTCTCAGGCATCTCCTGAATGGTGATGGTCTGATGGTCCTTGTAGACAGAAAGACCAAACTCTGTCTCCAGGGGGTTATTCTCTTCATCCTAGAGGAGGAACCCCAATAAAAATATGTCCTGGTTTGAGGTTGTCTAAACCACGACAAAAGACTATCACCATTTTTCAGAAGCACAGGGAGAAGAGGTGGGTCAGAGGTGGGCCTCCCAACTCAGAGGCTCCAGCTCCACAGATCCCCAGTCTGAAGCTGCCAACACCCATCACTGCTGCTACATTAGGTCTCTCCAAGCCCTGTCTCTGTTGCAGGCAGTGGTGACATGCCACCCATGCACCAGGTGGTGGGCACAACGGGGTCAAAGCTCAGATCAGCCTTCCTGCATCCCCAAATACAGAGCAAACCCTCTACCCAAGGGTGCATGTACCCTCCAGGACAGCACAGGCATGTCCACGCTGACCTAGGTCCCATAAGCAACAAGACAAGCTGACAACCCCCCAAGAAACCATGCTCCAGCAGAACCAAGATCATAACTAACATCTGAACTAGTGCATTTGGTGGCCTTGTGTCCAACAGAGACTTTCTTCACATGTTCCTAGGGGCTTTCTGGGACTGTCATATGTGTGATGTGTCCTCTCTCTACTCAATGGGCTATGTTGGCTGAGGGAGAAGGGATGTGAGATCCTGGGCTTGAAGCTGGCACATTCTCCCCAGAGGAACCTGCTGACACTTCCCACAAGGCTGCTTCACCTCACCTTCGTGGGGTAGACAGAACTGGATGGGAAAGCATCCAGGGAGGTCATGTCCGTGTATCGGCGCTCAATAGTCTTCTTGGTAGCTGGGCAATAATGGACACTCCGGACAATCTTTGGACGAACCAGAGAGCCTGAGGTTGGAAGAAAGAGGAGTTAGAGGCAGGGATGTCCGACCACTCTGTCAATAGACAGTCCCCAACAGGGTCTTCACCACTCAACTGCACTTGGGACACAACTCGCTGTCAACCACAGCCAGGATTTGCTGAGCTTAAAGACCATCCCAACACTCAAGACCTTCTGCAAAGCCCCCTGTTCCCTTCACCCAGGTTGCCAGGATGTACCATGACTCCTGGTGGACTCCAGCCCCTCCGCAGCAAACACCTGGACCCACCACCCCCAAAGCCCTTGGATCTTCCCCCAGGCTCACATTTCGTCACGATGCCCTCCACACAGACAATGCAGCTGAGGAAACAGGCCGTCAGCGTCCGTGGCGACACATGCTTGGAGCCGAAGCTGCCCTCCAGCCCAATGTAGAAGTCCTCGTACTGCTTGGCATAGGTGGCATCAACAGAGGCGACGAAGTCCTTCAGGGCACGCTGGAAGGCGATCAGCTCCTCAAAGGCATTGCTCAAGAGCCTGCAACAGAGGGAGGTGTCGATGCAGACTTATCAGCAGCCCCTTCTGCCTTCCTCCTCAACACCTACCCATACCTCCACATGCGCTAAGAATTTACTAGGAGCAAGAGGCAAAAAAAACCCCACCAAAGCCCATCATAGCTCTGCGTGATGTCCAGTTCCACCAACAGCCAGGAGCTGAACAAACCCAACCACATCTGAAAAGCCTCGTGTCCCTGAGCAGACTGGCAAGCCTGGACCAAAATATCCCCAAGAAATCTAAAAAAAGGGACAATTTATATCGTGTACAATCAACCCGCGCTTGCTGCAAAAGGTTTTTGGTAAATCAAGGGTCTGCAAGCTAGGAAGGGATGTGTGTCACGGGGGAAAAAAAGAGCAGGTCCACCTTTTCTATGGGATCTGCAGCACAGGACAGGGTTTGGCCCTTCTTTGCCACAAAGGACCCGCAAAGCCAGGGCTGGACACCTAAAAACCCACCGAAGGCAGGGTGCCAAAGGCGAACCCCACCGCCCCACACCAACCGGTTGGCCCTCTTCTCGTTCTTCCGCCGCAGGTCGTTGATGCTGACGAGGAGGCGATACTGGTTGTCGCTGATCATGTCCCGGACTTTGCTGTGATAAATCCCTTGATCTTCCTGCAAGAAAGAAGGCAGGATGAAGCGGGGGGGGGGGGGGGAACACCCCAAAAAACCCAAATCACACTTTGCACTGAGCCATCCCACGCCCCCCACTGGAGCTGACTCCTGCAGAGCTCCATTCCCTTCAGCCCCACCGACCAAGCACGGGTGAAGGGGGGGTACAGGGACAACAGGGACCAGGTGCCCCCCATCCTCCCAGGACACGGAGGGGGCGATGCAGCCCCGGCGCCTCCCAGCGCAGCCCCGCTCCCGCCCTCACCTCATCGTCCAGAAAATCGAGGTAATCGCGTTGCGCCTCCCGCAGCTCCGCGTCCTCCAGCCCGCCC